AATTACTGACCTTGCTTGCCACACCCCTTTCCTACTAGTATTTTTTGTTTTCATATTCACAAGTGACACAGAACTTGGAATGGCCAGATACTCATGCACATTTTTCTTGGACAACCCTTAGTTAAGGGATTTTGTGTTTTTTCTTGTTTGTAAATGTAACACTGTTGATTCATGACATGTGCTGATGAAGGTTTTCTAGCTGCAACGTTCACCTGTCATTTATGATTGTGATAATATGAAGATGACTAGTTAGCTTCTTGTTTGGTTTGATATCTTTTCATGAAGTAGAAATTAAGTTGGATGATAGCCTCCATAAACCAAACTGGAATTAAAAGATAGCTGCTTTCTTACGTGAGTTATGGAGCCCTTATGCAGAAAGGGGGTGGAGAGGAGAACAGTCACTCATAACACTGTTTAAGCAATGATTGCACAACCTTCATATTTACATACTGATAACAAATAATACAAGACAAGAAGTCCCCACTCACCAGATGTTCCTTCAGCAGTGCCTCCACAACCTTCAAATCATCAGGAATAGGATCACGCTCTTTGGTGGCAAGGAGAGCCTGGGCATCTGTCAGCCATGCCAGGAGCTCTTCTAGCAAAGCTGCATTGCCTTGAATGTTCCGAAGGGCCTCTTGTAACCTCTGACCTCTGTTTGCTGCCCTCTGTAGCAGCTGAAAAACAAATATTAACTTTTAAAAAATATCCTGCAGTTTTATTTCCTTTTACTGACAATAGTCTGTGAAGGCCTACAAACATGCAAGGGTGGATGATCATAACTACACACATGTGTAAGCAAGCATACAGTGATGTAAATGAGCAATTCCATAACCCTGCAGGTGAGTAAGCCTACGATAATTCATGGACAGAAACATACAACCACACAGACAAGCGAGCCTACTAGCATCCAAACAAGTAAGCACACAGCGACCATACAGGCAGGCAAGCCCACAACCATGTAGGTGAACAAGCCAAGCCCACAATGACATAGGTGAACAAGTCCACAACCATGAAGGTAAGCAAGACTACAAGTATGTTAAAAAGTTACGTACAAAAATTCAGGGCTAGAATTCTACAATCATCATCAGGTGCCTTGCCGACTGGCGTGGGCGATCATGTCTCTCCATAATCTGCGATCTCCTGCAGCATGTATAATTTTGGGTGCCGACACCACAACTCCATGCCATGCAACAAGACTGTCAAGCATTTTCTCTCATTGTCTTCCTCTATCCCTTTTTCCACAGATCTTTCCAGTGGTCACAACATGTTCTATTTTCCCTCTTCTCATAACATGGCCGAAAAATGAAGACTGTCTTTTTCTGATGTCTGTGATAAGTTATCTTTGGGCTCCCGCCTCTTTCAAAACCTCTTGGTTGCTCTTTTTGGCTGTCCAAGGTATTCTAAGCATTCTTCTGTAAAACCACATCTCTGAGGCCTCTAAAAATTGTTTGGCCTGCCTACCGATTGTCCAGGATTCACATCCATATGTTAAAACTAGATGTATGTATCTACAATCATATAGGTGAATAAACCAAAACAGAAGGTAAGAAATAACACAAGTTAGCAGACGTGCATGACAATGACCATGCAGGAGAGTAAATTACCAGCCATGCGTGTGAGCAAGCTCACAACTATGTGGGTGAGCAAGTTCACTACGATGTGGGTGAGCAAGCCAACAACTATGTGGGTGAGCAAGCCAACAACTATGTGGGTGAGCAAGCCCACAACTATGTGGGTGAGCAAGCCCACAACTATGTGGGTGAGCAAGCCCACAACTATGTGGGTGAGCAAGCCAACAACTATGTGGGTGAGCAAGCTCACAACGATGTGGGTGAGCAAGCCAACAACTATGTGGGTGAGCAAGCCAACAACTATGTGGGTGAGCAAGCTCACAACGATGTGGGTGAGCAAGCTCACAACGATGTGGGTGAGCAAGCTCACAACGATGTGGGTGAGCAAGCTCACAACGATGTGGGTGAGCAAGCCCACAACGATGTGGGTGAGCAAGCCCACAACGATGTGGGTGAGGCAAGCCCACAACTATGTGGGTGAGCAAGCTCACAACTATGTGGGTGAGCAAGCTCACAACTATGTGGGTGAGCAAGCTCACAACTATGTGGGTGAGCAAGCCCACAACTATAAGGGTGAGCAAGCCCACAACGATGTGGGTGAGGCAAGCCCACAACTATGTGGGTGAGCAAGCTCACAACGATGTGGGTGAGCAAGCTCACAACGATGTGGGTGAGCAAGCTCACAACTATGTGGGTGAGCAAGCCCACAACTATAAGGGTGAGCAAGCTCACAACTATGTGGGTGAGCAAGCCCACAACTATGTGGGTGAGCAAGCCCACAATTGTGTGGGTGAGCAAGCCCACAACTATAAGGGTGAGCAAGCCCACAATTGTGTGGGTGAGCAAGCCCACAACTATGTGGGTGAGCAAGCCCACAATTGTGTGGGTGAGCAAGCGCACAACTATGTGGGTGAGAAAGCCCACAACTATGTGGGTGAGCAAGCCCACAACTATGTGGGTGAGTAAGCCCACCAACTTGTAGGTATGGGAGCCAATATAACACACATTTGGAAGCCAATATCACACACGCTAGGAAGCCCACAAGTGTCTAAAAAAAGGATAAAGGGCCCATACCATACCTTTAGGCATATTATACATATAGCGCAAGAACAATATTTTATACACTAATTGGCACTCATGGGTGATGTGGTAAGCATCATGCCAACCACCTTTATTTCCAAGGATTATATTTGGTACCCACTCAAGGCTGGGTCGACCTGAGAGCCAAGGGCCATTTTGAAAAAAGTCAGGCATTGTCAGGACTTGAACCCACCACCTTCCAATCTGCAGGCGAGCGTTTAGCCAATACACCATGATGGCCCTTCCACAACAGTATAGAAGAGCTAATTTACAACCATGAATGGTATGTATGTCCATAGGCAGGCATATGAATAAACCTGATAAAAAGGCAATCCTTTGCCATTTGTTATGTCCTATATTTTCACACTGAGGTGTCTAACATCCTGTTCCCATCGTTCTGTTGGTCAGTACCTGAGTTTTCTAGGAACCATGCCTTTCAATATTGTTTTTCTGGCTGTGATATCTGATGTGGTCAAAGTATGTTTGTTTCCAACACAGGTGATTTAAATATTCCATGATTAATATCCACATAATGGCACAGGATCAACGCATGTGCTTTACATTCTTACTTTTCTGCTGGTACTGTGCATAGGTTTTTTTATATTTAGCCTCTGCATTCTTCTCCTCTTCCTCTAGTTATCTCATAATTTTTTTTGGGGGGGGGGGGGGGTGGTGGTGGTGGGAGAGGAAGGAATGTGAAGATATTCTGTGTGCTCTTTCCAATGCACTGTAGAGGTTGAGCATTTCCTTAAGGCTGTTCTTGACTGTGTTCCATATTTTGCATGGTCTTTTCCTTACTCTTTGTTTATTAACTTCTTGAGCAACTCTGTGGCATTTAATACAGGGTATTCTAATCAGAGAGCCAGACCATCTCATCTATTGTTTTTAAATGATCTGTAAGATTGGTTTTAATCTGACTTTTTTCTAATTTCTTCAATTCTTGTTACTCGTGCAACACTTTTAAGACATATCTCTATTATGATTTTGCACTCATTAGTTGCAGTAAAGGTCCATGTTTGACCCTGATATAGTATCTGTATTGATATGTAGAAATGAATTACACAAAGTAAATAAAGGGTGGTGACTTAACCATCTCCAAGGTTATAAGAATAGACAAGAAAAAGACATTCAGAAATAAATAATACAGAGTGTATAAGTTGGGGTTCCCAGGTCATCACTTTCTTGCAGTTAAAGTCAAGAAACATAACAAGGATCAGAAGGTGTATAAGGGATGATGATGTTACCATCAAGTTAAAGGACAAGAGTCAGGCATGTAGAAATGAATCAGACAATGCATCAAGATAGTGCCTCATCTGTCTCCAAGATTTCAAATAAATACAAGAGACAGAAAGATGTAGAAATCAACCATATAGAGTGCATCAAGGGTTAGTGTCCTATAGATCGTTACAATTTTTAGAAAAGACAAGAGACATTTATGGAAATGAACTGTGCAGAGTGCATCAAGGGGTGGTTCCCCATCTCCTAGGCAATGGAATTAACTCACCTGGTCCCATCTGGTCTGTGTGATGGTCAGGTAGTACTTGACAAACCTGACAGCGTTGGGGTGACAACTCTGCAAGATATCTTCTGCTAAACTTTTGATCTTGTCCACGCTGTCCTGATGCTTCCGTAAATCTTCTTGAAATTTCTAAGAGAGACCAAGAAATAGTTTTAAAACTTTATAGCAAATAAAACTGATACATCCTGGCATCTGTTAATCAGGTTAGTTATTTCAGAGTAGACAGAATTCCATTATCTCACTTATAAGAGAAACAAAACAGAATATAATATAATTAGACAGTTTAGCTGTACAACACAAAACAACTTGCCAATTCCCCATTTAATGGCCAGTGAAGAAGAATAAATACAATGTGACATTCCTGGACCTTTCATATAATAAAGATCACTGAAATTATGTCAGTAATACTGTTGCTCAGTGCACATTTTTGCCTAGACAGTGGGCCGAGATAAATGCAAAAGTGGCCAGATTGTTTCTGAGTACAGACCTGAAGTCATTTCAACCTCATTAAAACAAATGGGTACCAGATAATATACAGATGGTTTTTTGGAAACGCGTGGAAAGGAAATATGACGAGGAAAGGTACCAGCCATCCTACCTAATGTGTTGTAGTCTTTAAGATTACATCCTTAGCCACACAGGGTTGCAAGTTACAGGCTGGTGTCAACTTTAGGTTACCCAATTATACATTCTTTGGAGGTTGAATGTGGTATCTGGAATTTGTCCTGCTGGTGTTGGTTACATACTTGGTTGACCTGGGAGCCAATGTCATTTTGGAACAAATCTGGGTCAATGTGAATTCAACCTTTGGGCCTCTAAAAATTCATCTAGCTACTGTGCCACAATGTCTTCCTTGTTTCCTCCACAGGTTTGAGGTACTTGAATGTCTTCTACCCAGTGATCAGGGAAACACAACTAAGAGTAAAATTCCAGCAGAATTTACCTCATGTTTCTCTATAAACTGCAGGATGACCATCTCATCTTCTGGGAGAGCTCGGAATTTCAGCTGAGCCTCTGCATGAGGCAGATATTCTCTCATCTCCGTCACTACATCCTGGAACTCCTCAGCCTAAAAAAATGTGGAGCAAAAAAGTGCAGACGTGAAACAACAATTTAAATATAACCAAATGTGCCTTCTTCACAATGAAGGCTGGTTGCAATGTATCCATTCTAACTATTGGAACATTACATGGTAAAGCCCCAATCTCAAGTAAAATGAAAAAAAAAGGATCTTTAATAGTCAGAGAATTTACTTCATTCCACTGGTTTTCTTCTGTATCTAGCTGCTCACCTGTCGACAGTGTTGTATAAAGCACAAACTCTGTAGCTGTAGTGATGATCCCCATGTATCTCTAAAACACATGTGCTAGTGAACTCAAACCAGAACCTTTGGGGTGTGAGACAAACAGCTTAGCTACTTTGTCTCTCTCTCATTCACCCACAAACACACACATACACTCACTCAAACTGACACACTTACAGACAACCCCCACCCGCTCTCTAAGAGTATGTTAGTGTTTTGGATCAATATTTTGAAGGCTGGCTTAACTTCTCAATTGTTTGTTCAGATTATCTTTGTTCCTATCCCATTTATATAGTCCAGGTTTCCAAAACCAGTGCAACATAGATCCTTTTTAAACAAATAAAAAATAAAAAGGTTAGAGAATTGAAGGCTACTTGAGAATGGGAAGACCACAAGATAGATAGATTCAAGATGAATTCAAGACATGATAGTAATGGAGGCAGAACATGCTTCCAAGGGCTAAATTGTAACACACTGTGAAAGATAAGCAACTAACTTAATTTAACTTAGTTTAAGAGCAGAACAATTATCGTAAATCAAAATGTTAAGTTATTTCTGTATATGTTGTGTAGCATTTTATACCCATCATACAAGTTTACTCCTAGTTTTTGAAATATGTTTTAGGCCTGAAAACTCAACTTGTATGTCGTAACTGACAGTAAGTTTTGCATTACCAGTTTAAGAGCTTCCTTGAGCTTGACTTCTCTGACGTCACTGAGGTGGTTGACCCTGTCCCAGATATTGGACAGCTCCTCAGCCTGGACAGCTGGTATATTACCTGGTGCTTTCATTGTCAAAACAGTTGCTTCTCTTTCTGCCAGTTCTTGTTGAATATTCTAAACAGAAAATTATTTTATTAATGTATTATCCTTTAATTATTTAAATAGGAAAAAAAAAACAATGTACCAGTACAACTATAAACAATCAGCCAACCAAACAATCAAACAAACAACTAGCCAAAAAAAAAAAAAATCAGCCAAACAACTCAACAACCAGCAAAAAAATAAACAATCAGCCAAACAACTAAACAACCAGCAAAAAAATAAACAATCAGCCAAACAATTAAACAATCCACCAAACAACTAGCACACACACAAAAAAAAAATCAGCCAAACAACTAAACAACCAGCAAAAAATAAACAGTCGACCAAACAATTAAACAACCAGCAAAAAATAATCAGCCAAACAACTAAACAATCAGCCAAAAAAAACTAAACAACCATTTAAACAACTAAACATCAAACCACAAAGCGATCAGCCAAATAACAAAACAATCAATCAAACAATAACCAAACAACTAAACAACCAGCCAGCCAACCAAACAAAGAAGCAGGTTTCTGGTAGCCCAGACTCACCCTGTGTTGCTCCAGCAACATGTGAACTGTGTCCAGGTCACCAAGGACAGGAGTCTCCGGGTCTAGAGCAGCTTCTGCTTTCTGCAGCCACTCCAGCAAGGATTGCAGGGCATCTGATACTCGACCAGAAGTCAGTAGAGCTTCATCAAGTTTGTTCTGGCTGAAACAAATTTATGCAAAAACAATTCTAGTCTAGTTTTTATTAGCTGAAGAGGAGAGGCCATATACAGTGAAACCTCGCTTAAGGAGCATAATTCGTTCCAGAATCATATTCGTAAAGTGAAACACTCGTTATGTGAAACAATTTTTCTCATATAAATTATGTAAAATATGACATGTCGAAAAAATACAAAATTTTATGTATAATTTTTATTCAAAGAAAATTATATACACATTGTTATTTTCTTCCACTGCCGAAGGAACCCACCTGGAATGCAAATTCAATTTGCAGAATATGAAAAAAATCGAAATAATTATGATACATACCTTATTATTTTTTATTAGAAAGATGTCCAGAGACATTTGTTTTTGCCGACATTTCAAAATTTGGCAAAAATGTGACACAGCATTATCAATAAATTACAGCGTGCATAGCAACTTCCTTATTAGAGTGATGCTTCTCAATGTAAAATGCAACAGTTTCCCATGGTTTCAGCATTTCTCTTATTTTTCCAAAAGGTTGTTGCTTTTCTGTTACCTCCTTCTCCTCCTCTGACAAACTTTCCTCCAAAACTTATTGCTGTGATAAAATATAACTCCATAAGCTCGTTAGTGGTCTTCGATATCACTGTCATCCACCTCCAATCCCATGATAGTGACCAAAGACACAATCTTGTTGACAACAGGTTCCACAGGTATTGTCTTGAACCCCTCAAAGTCACATTCGACAACACTCTCCGGCCAAAGCTTCTTCTAAGCAGAAGTTAGGGTTCTCTTGGTAATTCCTTCCCACACCTTGTCGATCATCTTGAGGCAGGCAACGATGTGGAAGTGATTTTTCCAAAACTCTCTGAGAGTGAGGTTGGTCCCTTCAGTAACATGAAAACAATGCTCGAAGAGTGCTTTAGTGTAGAGCTTCTTAAAGTAAGAAAAAACTTGCTGGTCCATGGGCTAGAGTAACTGAGTGGTGTTGGGAGGCAGAAATTGGATCTTGATGAACTTAAAATTCTTTAGGGAGGTCATATTGAAGTCCTGGAGGATTCATGTACATTTAATGACAATATAACACAAGTTTGAGAAAATTTGTGATCACAAGGGACACTACAATGCTACTGGAACAAGTGCTAAACACAGACTGATGTAACAAGCGCTCAATCCGGGACTTCCCCTCTCCTCGCCACTTGTTTTGCAAAACATTGCTTGTTAAGCAAGTCATTCTTTTACAATCTGTTTTGCTCGTTATGCGAATTACTCGTTATGAGAGGTGCTCTTTAAGCGAGGTTCTACTGTATTAGTTAAGCCTCATCTAGGATGGTGTTCAGGAAAAAGTATATTCTATAGTAGGCTCTTCTGGATCAAGTGGATATTTCAGCAGGACATACACAGTATCCACATCTGTAGAGACTGATTCAGCAGGGAAGAAAGTGGAGTGTCTGGAAAATTTTTAACTTGCAGGGGAAAATACAGGCAGACTTTTACTCAGGTTGCAACTGACATCATTAGTATGGGCATTCTTCTTTGGCTTCTGAAGAAGGGACACAAAACATGTGGGAATGTATTGAGTACAACAAAGTCAGCTCTTCATTAATTCATACATTCATTCAATAAACTGTATTCTTGTTTAGTTTCTTCTAACTGTAGAAAGATTATCTTGTTACATTCGTTGAAATGGCATGCAGTGAAAAGTAAATTATGGTCCAGTTTCTTCTGACTGAAAAACTGTTCTTGTTGCAAAGTTATACTGAATAATTAATTTATCTAGTTTCTTGATGTTACAGATTGGTTCATCAGCAGTCTCTTAACTCTTTAAGCATATCAAAACATTCAGCTAAACAATTGCAAGGCAACAATAGACTAAATGAACATAATACATGAGAGCATAACTGTCTGCATGCAGAAACAATACAAAAGGTAGACAATCACATCATCAGGGCGGAAACTGTCATGAATCAGATTTGATTTTCTGATTTCCCAGTGTGGGTTCCGGAGCCCCATTAAAGGGAAAACAAGAATAGACCCGCTGCCTTCCCAGCAAGCATGTTGTAGCAGTCGACTAACTGGGGATTTCCTTCGAAGTCAGAGTGCATCTGCCCAAGAGGCAAGGAACAACCTGTTGCACACAAATAAGTCTGTAAAAAGGATATACATGCAAAACTCAGGCCCTGGCACTAAGCCAAAGTCCAAATGGATGAACAACCAGGACATTCCACTGGAGCTTACAGCCGGTGAACAAAGAAGAATTTCTGATTCTGCAATGTCAACTAGCCAATCCCTGCACCCTGATCCAATATGATTACTAAGGGATATTAGAGCAGCTTTTATAGTTTTATTAAGGTTAACACTAGTTTAATTGTTCATTGTTTGGTAATCAAAGGCAGAACCTGATCACACATGGCATGTTGGTTGGGACTAAAAGAGATCATCATCAAGTGTGTTGGAAATTAACTGACAGCCAGGCATGACTGGTAATGAAAACAACAAAAGTACCTCTTCGAGACAACAGCACGAACAGCATTCCACTTATTCTTCAGCTCCTCCAGCATGTCATTGAGTATTTCCCTTTCTGGGTCTGCCTTAGTGCATCGGTCCTTTAAATTCCGCCCTAGGCGGGTTGTAGAGAAGAACGTAGGATGTTTGGCTGTCAAGTGGTGATTGAATTTCTGTATTGGATGCAAACAAAATTTTTTTTTTAAATAACAATAAAAATAAGAGCTGTGGTAGTTTGGTGGTGAGTACACAGGCTTACCGACTAAGGGTCTCTGTGGTGAAGTGGATAAGCTATTTGTTTTGCACTCTGAAGGTTGTCGGCTCAATTTCAAATGCTGTCATTAGGTTTGTAAATGCCAGAGGTTGTTGCCGGAGTATCAGAGTTTCATGCTTTGGCAAGTGAATAACCACAATCTACAGAGAGACTCAGCCATCTGGAGTAAACTCAATGCATTTAAATAGATCCTCTTGCTTTTAAATATTTAAAATCTAATGGTCTAGTGATAACTGAGCAAATTGGGCCTTACTTGTGTGAATCTATTGGAACCTGTTGGGTGATATCGTCAATATCATGCTGGCCACCTTTATTTTCTAAGAGTTGTGTATTCTATTTTGCCATGACCCCTTCCCCCCACCCCCAACACTTTTACTTCTCAACATAGAACCAGTTATCTAGACAATCACATCATCAGGGTGAAAACTGTCATGAATCAGTTCTGAATTTCTGATTCTGCAATGTCCACTGGCCAATCCCTGCACCCTGATCCAGTGTCCCTGCACCCGGATCCAGTGTGATTAGCACACTACATAAGTCAGATTTTTTCTCGGACACTCTGACCCACCCGTCTTCTGGCTCATTTGTTCTCAAGCATAGACACAACAGGAAGGGGCACAAATTGTTACATTTCTAGAATATCAGTAGAAACAAACATAGCTATAGTGAGCTACTAGAAGCTGAATGGGAGTAGGGACAAAACCAAATACTAAACCTATAATTATGTAACAGATCAGAGAAAGCAAGGGCACAATGGAAGAGAGGTAAGTGCGTCCAGTTTGGGATCCTTTAGGTATAAATGTCATCACTTGTCTGGACCATGCAGATACCATACTGCTTCTAAACAAAAACAAAATAAGTAAATTATTTAAAATTTAAAAAAAAGATTTTTCTAACTTGAATGTGCCTTTGAAATAAACATAAGAAATTTAAATGAAAAATAAATCAAAGAAAAAAATAAAAAAAAAAAAAAAAAAAAATTTTAAAGACAAAAATAAGGTAAAATTTAAGAGAGAGAAACATAATTTGCAAGGATTATTTACACTAATAAAAAAAAAAAAAAAAAAAAAGAGGAAACACCAGGAAATGAAGAAAATGAAATCAGATCAGGATTTGAACCTGCCTCCTTCAAAAGGTAGCAGTGCCTTGCTGAAGGAGTAACTGTACTTTGACTTACAATTGTTATAGTTCATATTATTATTCCATAGATATGACTAACATGACCATTTTTGTGTGTCTTCTATTCCTCAATGAAGAATAGGCCCTAATTCAACACAGGCCAAGTTTGCCATTGTATGCAGCTTACTCAACATCTCTTTATATGATTGCCCTGTTCCTAATTCTCAATGTGTGTGTTTTTTCCATTTCTTGTATTTATTTTCTGTTCTGGATTCCAGTGGAAGGAATTCATAGTTAAATAATCAGGTTTTCTATACTGCTGTTATGTTATTCACTGTTACTTTAACCCACAAGTAAGGTTAATTTAGATCTGTTCTACAGGATAAAGCTGCCAATATAGATTCCAGGGTCGCATTGTTTGGGGCGTGGGGGGAAGGGGGGG